AGCTGGGGGAAAGCTGGGGCTAGAGCGCTTTTCTAGAATTTACTAGAGTAATCTCTAAAAACAGAGATATTACTAAAATTTTACTGCTCCCACAACTCTCAGGTGTTTTAGATGGGTAGGAATACATCAACATCATAATTTATTGACAGCTATATAAGACTCTCATATACATGTCCTTCACCTAGATAGTCACATGAGTGGAAGAATTTAAATTCTAGTCACAGCTTCTTTTGGGAGTTTGGGAGGTAATTTACAGAATCTATAAGCAGATGTTGTCTCTTCTCATGTTCAATACATTTAAGTATTTTTTTCCTCCTCTTGTGCAATATTCAGAGTATTTGGGTTGACTGATTTTCCTTCTGACGGTCTTCCAATTGTCCTTATTCGTAAATCAGCTTTCCTGTTTTTCTTAAGAGAAACTACCTTATCTTTTAGGGTGGTAGGGTGTTTTGTTTTGTTCCAAAATTAAGTCTGACTCAGCCAGGTGTGTTTTAGCATCAGGTTTGTTCACTGTAGTTTATTGAAACAAGGAGATTATTTTTGTTTTGCATAGAAATTTGGGGATCATTAGCTGAGGGATGTGGGGAATTCTTCTAGCCTCAATTTTGTCACTATTACACACCCACACCCACAAGCCAATTATTCCACTTTGCTGTCATACAATAATACAGGCTCTTAGAAGGTGCCAGACTGACAGCTTTGAATTCTACAGAACAGGTTTTGTAGAGACATCAGCAGTCCCAGTTCTCCTCATGCACTTCCATCTTCCCAAACTACTGTGTCTTGCCTGCAAGACAGCCTCAGTTATACCCAGAATTGAGGCATAACTTTCCATCTCTTAGGATATTGTGTTCTTTCCTTATCCAGAGGTGTCCCAATTACATGGCCTTTTTCTTCCTTAGTTCATTTGAATACTGTCTCAGTTTGGCATCTGTTAGATGAATCAACCTCTTATTGCAGTGGGGTTTATCTTTGGGGGGCTGGCTCCCTTTTCCACCTCAAGGGACTCCCCTCCAAATTGCCACATGGGCAGTTTGCATTCTCACTACCTGTACTCAGACCCCCTATAGATAAACTTGAGGAATCAGGTCTTCTGGGCTATTAAATCAGCACCTTTCACAGCTGCCAGTTTCACAGAATAATCAACTTGCAATTATGCAGCATAATGGTAGTGGTAGAATAAAGCAAATAAAACAAAACCAAGGCTGATACAATAGGTAAATAAATTAGGCAGTAAGTATATATTTAGTGCGCTCACCTTTGAAAGGCTGGTAAGTGGATTTCTGTAGAGAACAGAGGCAGCTTTAAGCAGGCAGAATGGGGCTGGGTGCCAGGGGGATGAACATTGCTCCATTCAGACGTGATGCTGCGGCCAGGAGTGACGGAGGAAGACAGGGCCTGGTGAATCCATGTCATGGGTAATCCATCCACATATCACTGAGAGTCGCCTGAAAAAAAATATTTTCCTCTAAGATATTATATCTTTAAGAAAATATGCTGGTGATCCTAATCAAAAAGTGGAAATAATCAGTCAATGCTCCATAGCATTTTAAGTGAGGGAATTGTTGCTGAGAGAAGGGGGAGATTTTTCTCTTTTGGCAAAGAGAAAAAATGCAGTTTGATAGAGGTACAAATTCTTGTTTGGCTATAATAAACAAATTTTGCCCAGGGCCAGGGAGGCAAAGCTAAGCTAAACTTTCTCCTCCCCATCTCCAGCCATATCACTGTGCAGCTGCGCAATTCTCCAGGGGTAAGCTCATGGACACGCTAACTAGCTCTCAAACAAAAAGCTTCATTCTTTGTTTTTGGCAGTGAAAGCAGTGAAAAGCAGCAAGGCAGGCACACAGGTTGTGCTGAATCCTTTGGGATCATCTCTCCCATGAACCTTCTGGGGCTAGGACCGGAGCAGCAGCATTGCTTGCCTGTCACTGTGAGGTACCCTTTTCCAGCTGTGTTGCAAAGAGTAATTGTATTCAAAATGGTCTTGCTTAGACTGAGAAAATAAGGCTGAGTAACCAAAATATCAGTCTGCTTGTTTTGGGGTCTAGGGTCTTGCATTTAGGTATCTAGATACAGTGAGACTGAGTCTTGTGGCAGCTTACACAGGTAGTTCAGCCACAAACATGTAAAGACCTACACAACCAAGTGAAGGTTGTAAAAATGCACTGACACCCAGAAAGCTAGTATGGAGCCACTATAAAAGGAGATCAGAGAAAGTGGCCTGAGCAGTAGTAACTCCACCTCAAATTTCCTGTGTCTAGGCACAGTTATCAAGAGATTTGCAGTAAACAAACTTAATAGTTGCCTGTGTCCTAATCTTCATGCTACTGTGGTTGAAACTGGGAAGAAACATGAAGCTATGCATGGGATCGGTTTTGATGGCACTGATTTCTATAAACATTACAGAATATGAACATCTATAACGATACTGTTGACTTTAGCCACATACAAGGTCTAGTAACAGTGAATGCTTTAATGTTGTTGGCTTTGCTCATTCCACCTTGACAAATTATGGATGATATGTTTAATTTCCCATTACTGGACCTGACTGCTCCTTAGATTACGGGAGGACTTTTATTTTCTTTTGCCGATGGAGAACTGAGGTACATTGTAGGGCTGTGCCCAGATTATATAGGAAGGTATAGCAGAGCAGGTAACTGAAATGAGCTTTAGCTGAACCCTATCTCAGTTCTTTCATGTGTATCTTCAACCCTGCCTAATTCTTCTTCATGTATCAAATTCATACATTTTTCCTTCAAGAGAGTAAAGGCTCTCTTAATGCCATGAGGTTGGAAAGATCTGGCCTTTCTTCCTTGCTTCATGAAGGTCTGCAGGGAAATAACAAGAGACTGTTGGCTTCAACACTGAGATTATGCTGCAGGTACCCATCTTTCACAAAAGATTAAAACAGTGGTTTCCCTGGTATTTTTAATGTCTGGGAGAAATAACTACAGGGACTTGTTTCAGCCAAGAAGGAGAGAAGCAGTATCAGTAAGAGGCAGCAGAGATTATGCTTTCCTTCTCTGTTGAGGGCTGCTGTACTCTGACTGTCAAGCTGACAAGCAGTGCTTGTGCCCTGCAGGGACGGACTGCTTCTGAAGACAGCAATGGCAACATCTGTCTTTTTACTTTAGTCAAAAGATTTTTCTCTTTATAGTTAGATTAGGTAATTATCAGCATCTCTTGACTGAAGGTCTCAAACACACAATCTGAGGTAGTTCTTTTTAACTTGATACACGCAGTCTGCCTTATAGGCGAGGAAGGTTTCATTGCAATAGGAAGTACCACCTCACACTAGTGCTCCATGGGCTTCCTGCTCAGCCTCCGATGCACTTCAAAGCTCCATAGCCGTCTGGTCTCCAGCTGTCTTACAAACAACCTCTTCACCCATGAAGCATGCTGTGGGTAGTGGCAGTTGTTTCACAGGAACCCAGAACACATTGTGTTCCCAGAGTAGGTTCTTGCCTGACTGTACCTCCGGGGAACAGGAAGAGCCTGAGCTGGACTGTCCTCAGAGCTGTTTGCAAACTGTTCTCAGAAACAATGGCTGATGATTCATCTGGCATCGTCATCAACAATCCCCAGGCCTGCTTTTTAACAAACCTCCCCAAAATAAAGGGGACCCTCCTAGACAGAATCATGTATGTTGTAGTGGTGGATCTACAGAAGAGTAATCTAGGTTTAAGAGTGTTTGTAATCAAGCGATTACATATGCTTGCCCGAGGTCAGACAGTAAGCTAGTTTAGCAGCTCTGGGGACCCTTGTTCCTGTGTTGTGCTCACATGATATGAGCAGGCTGACTCATCCATGTGTGGAGATACATAAATGCCTGCTTATATTGTGTTTTTGCAGGTTTTAGTAATAAAGCCGGATCTGTAGGGTTGCAATCCTTTCTATGACAACAGAACACTGCCATCACCAACATTCCGACTTCAAAATTCTTACAGTTTGAAAAAGAAACTCAGTTCCTTTTTTTGTTTATGCTAGTAACACAGAAGGTCACTGGTTTAATGTGCGTAACCTTTTAAAGTTATTTCTTCGAGTAAACATTTGCTGGAAGATACCCCATCTGGGTGATATTTTTTTGCAAATGCCTGGTATTATGCTACCTAAACAAACTTGTCTTTGGTGAGCCCAAGACAAGACATGGGGTGGCCTTTCTAGAGGTACGCATCCTAGTATAATGACAGCCCAAGTGATTATCACAATATCTGAAAATGAAAGAACACAGTGGGGAAGACTGATGGTGTTTACCTTCTGTAGTTGCTAGAAGTGAAAGGATAGCAGTGACTGATGAAGGCTAAGATACATTAATGTGAGGGAAGCTTGTTCTACTTACCAAGGATGTGAGTTGACAGACTTTAGATATCATGCTGGCATGTCTGGGAATGAAATGTATCTGGTGAGTAGAGCCTACATAAGCACATAGGGAAGACATCCACTCAAAACCAAAATTATGGATGTCTGCAACAGGGGGGGGGGGGGGGGGGGGGGGGGGGGGGGAGGGAAAGAGGGAGGGAGGAAGGAACAGAAAGTTTATGTACATAAACCTTTTTTTAAAAAAACTATTGTTGCACCTGGTAGCTGGCTTTACTGACACAGAAATGAGAGGTCTGCTCAATGCTTAAATAGCTGAGAAACAATGGGATAGTGCAGGAAAGTTAACAATTAACAGTCTCAGCTTAAATTTTGTAACTGCAGGGAACTGGAAACACAGCTGCCTCTCTCTTCAACCAAATCAGGTCTCCTGGTTAAGGGAAGAATTTCTGTTAACATCTTAGTTTCTGAAAAACAAGCAGCTCCGAGTTGAATGAGTATCATGCAGTTAATGGGTTTAACCAGCCTGCTCATATTTAACTATCTCTGCTCATTTTAAAGAGAACAGCTGAGAGAGGGGTAACGGAGCTTTTGAAATGCTTTTTACTTTACTTTTTTAAATGAGAGTACAGAGCAAAAAAGGGAGCTGAAGGCATCCGGCTGAAGAGAAGCAGCAAAGGAAGATGGGTCTGCTAAGTGTGGATTTGCTGATCACGCTTCAGATCTTGCCGGTCTTTTTTTCCAATTGCCTCTTCCTTGCACTGTATGACTCTGTGATCCTCCTGAAGCACATGGTGCTATTTCTGAGCCGGTCTAAGTCCGGGCGCGGTGAGTGGCGGAGGATGCTGACCTCGGAGGGGCTGCGCTGCGTGTGGAACAGCTTCCTTCTGGACGCCTACAAGCAGGTGGGTACCCGGGGCTGGGCACCGCCGCGCTGGGGTGGGTAAGCCGGGAGGAACATCCCTGCTGCCAACGGAGAAGGGAAGGGAATGGTTCTGTGCGGTGCAGACTATCCCCTATTTGACGTTAAGTTTGATGGGAGAGGTATAAGCTGAAAGGAGCAGTAGGGTTCACGAGATTCAGGAGCTGCTCTGTCTCTGCTCTGCCACTAACTCTCTGTGCAACCATGGCCATGTCACTTAGTTTAGCTGTGCCTTAGTTTCCCCACCAGTACAGATAATACTCTTCATGTTTATAAAGTATAATTGTAAAATGCTCTCGATGGTTCCACAGCTGTTGTTTAATTGTTCGCCATGTGAGATCCTCAGAGATTATACAAAGCCCACCTCGTCAGATAGAGCTCATGTAGATAGATGTAACATAGAAGTGTTACATAGTGATTCTATGTAACATAGAAGTGTTTTAATTAGAGTAAAAGATGGAAATGAACCTTTGTCATTACACTGGCATTTTCTATTACTCATGTTAATTTTTATATTGGAAGAAGCATCCAAGTAATAGTAAAACTGAGACACAGTGAAACAATGAGACTTTTCTTCATGTAAGCAGTGACAGAGGGACATGTCAGATTAAAAATGAACTTGACTAGTTGAGGGACAGCTGCCTGATGATTTAAGTTACTAAAACCAAAGCAGTTATGCAATATGTACTTTTTTTCCTTTTAAGATTTCTACAGTCATTACCCTGTGGTACTGCCCAGGTCTCATGAGGTAGTTATAGTTATAAATTGAAAAGGTGGACCCAAAAAGATGAAGTTTCTTGCACAGGCCACCCAGTTAGTAAGGAGAACTGGATTCAGAGCTCTGTGGCTTCCAAAACAGTGCTTAGTCTGTTAATGTGTTGTCTTATTTAGACCATCTAATTTAACATACCCCATGTAATGTCATGAGGTCATCCAAATGATACCTCTGTATCTTCTCAAATACTTCTTTTTGTATCACCTTCCCCCAGTCCTCTTTAGCTCCCCCATACTGGCTTTTGTATTTGTTCTTGTCTAGAGATGTGAAGAGCTGGTGGTGTTGGTGTTTGCTGGCTTTGTGATATAGAATACATGCTACTTAGCCTAAAACCCAAGCCCTGGGGACATTAATTTTCAGTGTAAGACAAATATAAATAACGCTAGCTTTTGCCAAATAGGTCAACCTCGTACTGCCACCCTAGGAATCAGCCAGCTACCCAAATAAAGTAATGCTGAATGAAGCTCACTATTCTCCTAGACCTTCTAGTTTCTGGTTTTAGTCTCTTCACAGACATCATGTAAGTACATTTTACAGTGGCCTTGTTAAATGGACTGGTGAACACAATTGTTCCCATTTTACAGACAAGGCAAGGCAGGACAGTTAACACGTGACCTGGTCAGGGCTCCAGTGGAGGTTGGTAACACAAGCTCTGAAACAGCCAAGTTTCCAGTTCTCACATTTGAGACTGGTATGTGATCCAGGGTCTGGAGAAGTTGTGGAACTGTAAGAAACCTTATATCCATGAGATATTGTCAATCTCATTTTGCTTAAATAACACAAAATGATTTAAAATAAAGATGTCACGTGCCTTTCTGTAATTTCTGAAGTCATACTTTGCCTTTTCTTCAGTATTGTTGGTGTCAGCCATAGAAGCTACAGGGAAGATGACACTGTGCTATTTTTGGTGTTGGCAATGAAACTCATACTTTGAACTTTGGTAATTAAAAACCCTTATCATCATTAAATAACCAAGGTTGTTCAGGCCAATCAGGCTTTAAGGTCCCTAGAATGAATTCTGGGCTTCAATGAAATTGGCAGAAAAATGCATACAAATAAATAAATTTATCACCTTGTTCCAAAAACAGGGAAAAAACCATTCGTACCAGCTATCCTTAAGACGAAACTAATTGACCAACACTTCATGGAAAGACTCTGTTTTCCGTAATATAATTATGGCCCATAATGACAGAAGATCATTGGAAACTCTTGATGGTCACAAAAAGGTAGATAAATGTAAAAGTCAAAATTATAGAGGGAACACAACAAACTGAGGAGCAATATTAGAAGAGTCATCACCTCCCCAAAAGAGGAGAATCTTCTGCTGCTTCTGTAAGGAAGAGGAAGAAAAAAAATGTTTCAGATAGAAAGTTGCACTGGTAGAGTTGAAAAAATTTAAAATACACCCTGCTTTGTGGCATGTTTAAAAAAGCATGAGAAATGATAAAATATATTAAAGACTGTCTCACAAAGCATCATTTTCCTTAAATTATCTTTCTCTAAATCCCGAATAGGACTGCCCAGTTGTGATATTTTAATCTTAGACAATTAGTGAGGGTATGAAATGAAAATATTATGGAAACAGGGTACTAAACAACATTGTCAAGATGTAGTCGATACTGTGATTGCTTATTGCTCCAGTTTGCCAGCTGAAGCCAGGTGTTAGCAAAGTACTTAAGCAGGTGCTTAAGATCATTCCATTGAGGAGTATATATGAGATAAATTTTTCTGTTAGAATAGCAGAATTGCAGATGCCTGAAAAAAGCCAAAACTAGACTGCCAGTTAATAGAAGAATGGATGTAACTGTACTTGGTTTTACTATGTTTTGTGTCACTTAGACAGAACTCTTCCTGAGAACATTTCATAACATTTTTCACAGAAGTACTTGATGTAAAGTTTCTATTCACAGAAAAATTTAGTGTAAGCCATTCCAGAAAAACTCTGTGCATAGATACTAGGTTCTGGATTAAAGTAAATTTATTCCAAGAAAGGAACTCTGCCTTAAAACCATGCAGACTGTCCCAAAATTAAGTGATTTTGTTTCAAGACTACTGTGTACAAGAGATGATCTTTGAAGAGGCAGGGTATATTTGAAAATAGCTATTCCGATGCATTTTCCCTTCTAGAAAAGCTTTTGAATATCTTATTCAAATTTCAACTTATTTTTGTTCTGCTTTTTGTTGTTATGAAGTATTATTGTACATGGCATTTTGGTTAGGGCAATTATTTCATAAGCAATATTACCTAGCAACAGTTGAGGATTTTAACACCCTCAGTGGGGAAGCAATGCAGTTTGTTTTATTGCATACAGAGTATATTCAGTATTTTTGTTTATTGGAGCTTTCTATATGACTTGTTTTCTCCACATTTTACAGTCCCACTGGAATCAAAATGATTGATCTTGTGTTTATTTTTATTTTCTTATGTAAACTTTATCAATGATTAATATATTTCTTTTTACTTCCTTAGCTCTGAGTTCAGTACCTGTCACACAGTGTTGATACTGTCTACACTGCACCAGCTTTGTGATATATAGAACATACTCCTTTTCTGAGAGGCAAGCATCTCTTACATTACAACAAGGGAGTCTTTAGGACCAGATTAATTGTCATAACAGAGATAAATAGAGCTAGTAGTCAAGCTACATTAACTTTATGTAATTGAAAGAGTGCAACTATTTTATTTAAATGTTATTATTCTAATTTACTGTGCTCTGTTTATCCACAGAAATGAGTGGATTGACTCCTGAAAAGCAATCATGTATGCATATATGTGTAGATATCTACACTTTCATGTGTGTTTGTATGTATATAGATATATATGTGTGTATATTTGTACATATAATACATAAATATATGTAGATGTGTATAAATGCAGAAATACACACATAGGCATACATAATTGCTCTTTCAGGAGTCAGTCCTCTCATTTCTCTGTATATGTATACACATAAATATATGTACACATATGTATAGATATGAAGGATGCTGTTGTAGCTATGGGCGTAACATGCATGTGTGTCTAAATGTATGTTATAGCCCTCAAGAAGATTGCCGGTATCTCGGGTGATGGATGGTGATGGGTGTGTGTATGTACTTGTAGAGCTTTTTACTCTCTTTAGAATGAGCCAGCAGCAAGCTCTGCTGTGACAGACCCAGCAAGGAGATAATGATTGGCACAGGATCCCAACTCCACAGCATAGACACAGCTCTGGATGTAGCAGCAAGTAGACTGGTTCAGTAAACACCCAGTGGGATTTTCCTGAGATTTCAGGGAGGCACAATTATATTACTTTTGGCTACTTCTGCCTGTCTTATAGGTACATCATTTATTCCTAAAATAAATCAGTACACAAAGCAGGACAGCCTGAAATGATTGTGTTAAGTGCATGCTGAACAGCATTATCACAAAGCTGTATGTGGAAGTAATATGATGGCATGATCCTTTACCTGCTCTTTGGCTGTCCAGTAACTGATTTCTGGGGAAATTTTCAAAAGGTTAGAACAAAGACATAACCTCTATACTTACTACTTGTATTTATTTTCTCTGGCAAGGTAAGGAAGTGTCTCTCTCTGCATTTAACAGTGATAGAGGGAATTTGGGAGAGTGTGGTGTATAGTTTCAGGGTTTAGAACTAGACATTGTGTGGTATTAAAAATATTTTATTGGTTTTACAAAGTTCAGCCTTAGCAGAATTGTTTTCATTGACATTTTCAAATGAAAACAGTCTTGAAAGAAGTGAGAAAAACAAAACAAAACCACAATTAAAACCTTTCCTGCAGTGTTTGGAACATTAATTCAACAGGATTTGGGTTTGTCATTGTCGTTATTATTAAAACATTGTCATTATTATTAATATATAATCATGTTTGTTATAGCAGTGTCTGAAGACCAACCCCAGACCAGGGATCCATTGTATTAGGCAGTGTCCTAAACAAGAGGAGCAGACAGTTTGTCGCACGGAGCTTACAGGTCAAACACTGAAGACAGACAAGGGGTAGGAAAAGAAATATGACAACTCCTGTCCCACATGGGGTCTCATCCTACCTGTTTCATTTTACAGATCTAACTTCACTTCTTCCACACCACCTCTTGGCAGTCTTTAATTTTCACCTTTCTGTGTGAAAAACTGACTGAAAGGACTGCTTGCTTTTCTGTCAAACCCTTGTGAAAACCCCCTTCTGCTGTGGTAGGCACAGAAAATTAG